CACAGAATTCTACAACTTTGATTACCTGATGTGCTGAAAACCATAGATTAAAGTGCAGTTTTCCCAGCTTACCAGCTGTTCATATTGTTGTAAGAATAAGAACGTTGTGTTTCTCAGCTATGTACTTTTCTAAGATAATACCACTTAAAAAAAAAAAAATAATAGCCAGATAGTGAAAGCAATCCAAATATCAATCAGCAGCTTAATTAATAAACACATTGTGGTAAATTCATTCACCGGAAAAAACATCTATTGTTACAATAAGGTACTGCTGACTACACTCAAAAGTAAGGGTAAATTCACAAGTACATATGATGAGTAAAATACGACAAACACATACAAGTCCATACATACTATTCCACTTTTATAAACTCTATTATATGAAAACCAATCTAATGTTACATAAAGAAAACCAGTAGTTGACTCTGGACGTAGTGTGAGAAGGGGAGGTCTGGAAGCAGGAAATATAGGAAAACAAAAGGAAATGTTGAGTACAGTTGAGTTTTTTTCTATGTTGAGAAAGGTAATGGTTATGTCACTATTTTTCAAGTTATACACATTATGGGAGGGCCACTATTTGCTATTTTCACCTCATTAAACTATTACAAATTTAAACACCTAGAATATGGTAGAAAATGAGTTAGAGATGAATGAAATATAGAAGATATTAAAAAAGAAAATCACAGAACAATGGCGTAAGAACTTCACTCATCAAACTGAATAAATTTTAAATTTCTCAACACAGAATTAAAGATTTCATTAAATATATAAGAGAAATCAAAGACTCCAGAATATACACATGAATAAACCCTAAGTCTACCTATATTCCTAGGGAAACACTAGAATACAACAATATAATGTCATGATTTTATTACATAATGGGAGTAAACAAACCATACCAGGCATGCCAGCTCTCTTCTGGAGTTGGGTCAGGGAACAGGTGTATCCTGTGGTGAGGAGCAGTGGCACCAAGCTCACAGCATCAGTTCTAGTTGACACCAAAAATAGGCCAAGATATCACAACTAAAATGCAGTATGGATGTCATATCTGTCGATGCCACACACTCCCCCACGTGAATATGGAAAGGTTAATTACCTCTGGAGGTGTCTGCCAAGAGTAGTGCTGGTCTCTCAGGAATGTCCAAAATGGCTTGGTCGAGCAAGAAAAGAGACTGGCTCAGGGTTCCTATAGGGGTTTGGTGGTGGAGGCAGAGTGAGGGGTCTCACTCACAGAAAGGAGTTTGTGGGGTGTGAACCTCCAAATGGCTTCAAATAGGGAATTCCTGTGATTCCTGACTAGATTTACCTCATATGGGAAAGAAAAGAGATGAGGGAGGAATGAGTGTTAAGTTATCAGCAGTCAGACATAAGAAAAATAGTCTGATGACTTATTCTATGTAGAAACTATAAAAATCATGAATAAAAAAGATCAGCCCAATATGGGTGGACAACAACCAGGTCTACACAAAATGAGAAGACTGATTTTAAGAATAAGCAAATAATAATGAAAAGGAGGAGGAAAATGAGGAGAAAGAGGTGAAAGGCACGGGGCAGGGGATTAGACAAGCGTTGTGTTCCAATGACTTTTGTGGAGAATTTTCACTCTCTAAGATCATCTGCCTATAATGTCTTAGGTGAGATGCCTGTTCCAAAACATCAGAAGCACCAGAGGATTTCTGAGGATTCTCAGTTTAATATCTTCTATTTGAGTAGCCTTACAATAGTGTACAATTCTTGCCTATTACTATTAAAATTAGAGATAGGGTCTTACTCTTTCACACAGGTTGGAGTGCAGTTCACTGTTACCTTGAACTTCCGGCCCAAACAATCCTTCTGTTTCAGCCTCTTGACTATGTAGGACTAGAGGGGTGCATCACCAAACCCAGCTGATTTTTTTAAAAAGTTCTTTCATAGAAATGGGATCTCTCTATGTTGCCCAGGCTGGTCTCAAACTCCTAGTCTCATATGATTCCCCTTCTTCTGTTTTGCTTCTCAAAGTAGTGGAATTAAAGGCATGAGCCACCACATCTGGTCTGAACTGATTATTTAGTTGCAAAATATCAACCCAAGAATACTCCCTGAATTTTTTTCTGCAGTATTTTGGTTAATAGTGCCTGATAATATTTATTCCAATATGATTCAACAGGAGATTTTTTTCCTGATGTTTCTTCTAATGGACATAATTTCATGGTTGAAGATCACAAAATACTGTTAAAAGATGACATGAAAGGCAACATTAAACTTTCGGTGATTGCAGTGAATATAAAACAAAAATTACTTTCAATATTGTGTAACACAGGCATGCAATAGGACAAAGGTGAGCAATGAGGGTAAAATTTCTAAATGTATGAATCTTTCAGCTCCCGGGTCATAGGGCAGTAACTGATGTGTCCTGAGGGAGGGACCCTGATGTCATAGTGCTAGTGGGGTAACTCTTGGCCAAGAGAGTTTCCATATTTTATTAAAGTTTTATAATTTTTTATTTAAAGATGCCAATTTATCAACATACCCAGATTATTGTGAGATGGATTCTGTATGATGTGAACAATGGCGATGCCTTCCATGTTTAGATAATATTACACACCAGCTTACGATTGAGTGTTTGATGTAATGATGCACCCGAACATTATTCCAGTTTTCATACTAATGTTTCATTTTTCTCTTTATTTTCATTTGTTTCAAATTCATATGTCAGGTCTCTAACGTGTAGGAATTCACTTAAAAGTGTCTTTTCTTGTTGTCTATTTTGACGGGGCTTCCAGAAGATTTAAAAACTTCCTCTGCCTGCAGCACATTTTAGATTCTGTGCTACTGTAGAACATCTGTATTTAATCCTGGTCTTTGGTTAATTTACAAGCTCTACTAAGTGCAATAACTTCTGCCTTCTGAGCTGATTTACATCAGGTAGGAGAATATATCCTAAATGAAAATTTGTATTAGTGATATAAATTATTATTTCATAACCACCACTTTTATCAAGTGTTATTCATTAAGAAACAAGTGCATTAAAGTGTTTTATTTACTGACAATTTCTCAGTTGCTGAAGGGCATTAGACTAAAGGGTCCATATTCCTGGGTCCTTATTCCTAGGAAGGCATCGTGACCCTGAGTCTGGGCGTGACCTTGCGAGTGTTTCTCACCCTCCACCAGATGAGATGCTGGTCTGTGTGTTCTTGCCTCTTCCCCTGGGGTAGTGTCCTCCTGCTTTTCCCAGGTGCTCCCTCCCACAGCTCGTGTTCTCCATTGACACCACCACCTTCCAGTTCTGCTGCCCTACCCTGCAGACTAAGGCTATCATTCCACAATATAGAGAGAGGAGCTGCTTCTCAATGGACTTTGGGTGGGGACCTCTGTTCCCATCTCAACTCCTGACGGGTTGAAACAGTGTCCCTAGGATTCTGGTTTCAGTGGTTTGCCTTGGCAGAGCAAATTCTTAGTTCTGTAGTGGAAATAAAGGAATTGGATCTGAATATATTTTAGAAGTGTGGGCTCTTCTTTTCTCCCAGACAGACACTTCGAGAAAGGATTTTTATGACTGTCCCCTTCTCCAGGGAAAGGGTTTCAAGATGATAGGTTAGCTTTTAATATGTGGTTCCTTAAAATTTCACACTACAAAATACTTACCACACTCAATTTCAAGCAATCCAATATGTATTTGTATTTTTTTATTGGAGTAGCCTATATTTCATATTCCAGACTCTTCTATATGTAATTTCAAACCCTGGCTTTGTTAATCACTATGAGAACTTACTTATCCCTAAACTTGAGATTTATTGTTGGTTTTGAAACTGTAATTATCCAAAGTATTAAAGAAAATTTGCAAAGTTCCATCTTCCATGTTTATCTATTATTGTTGGTGCAGTTCTAAACATAAGACAAATATATTCATTTTCTATATACATTTCCAAGCTTAGTAGTAGATTTTTTAAGAATGACAAAAAAAATTCAAATATTGTTCAGCTGCTTAATAAAAAAAAGTTAGGGTAAATTTGTTTGCTAGAATACTACCCAGCATTTATAATAAGTAAATGTCTGATATACATAACTACAAGGTAAAACACCTAATTATTTACACTAACTAAAATAAGCCAAACAAGAATATATACCCTGATATTTCATTTTTTACGTTCTGATGAATTAAATTGAATCTGCAGCAATGTAAAGATCAGCAGTTGTCAGGGAAATGAGTAGAAGAAAGAAAGGGAAAAGGAGGAAGAATATAGAAGAACAAAAGAAAATGTTGAGAATTTTCTTGTCCACCTTGATAATGATGATGGTTACATCATGTTTATCAACTACACACTTTAAATATGTGAAAGTTTATTATCTCCGAACTAAAACTTATAAAATTCATTACAAGGAACAAATGGAAACTTAGACAAAGAAGGAGTGACAGAATGATAGAAAAAATGTATATTAAATTTCAGAAATACTTAAGAATTTATCTGCCTGAACCTTAGTTCTCACCATATTTTTAGGTGAATGCTAGAATGCAGCAAAAACACACATGTTCTCAATACAGGAAATGGGTTCCACAAACCACACTAGGCATGTCCACCTCTGTCCTGGAGCTGGTTCAGGGAGTAATTGGGGCCAGTGATGAGGAGCACAGGCCCAGATACCAGGGTTTACCCGTCCCAGATATCAGCTCTTAGACACATACTGAGCATCTCTACATGGAGAAACCACTGGTTCTGATAAAACACAATTTACACAAGTATGTAAAAATAAAATAGGGTGATCATTTCAAAGTGTTTATCACAGCATAATTTTATAATGAGACAGCATATTTTCCAAATACCATCATTGTCACCAAATTTCTGCAAGGGACAGTCATCTCATCTGGGGACCATCTTCTCAGGCGTCCCACTCCAGTGCTTGCCATATAGTAGGAGACATGCAAATAGGGCCCTCCCTCTCCTGATGAAAACCAGCCCAGCCCTGACTCTGCAGCTCTGGGAGAGGAGCCCCAGCCTGGGATTCCCAGAGGTTTCCACTTGGTGATCAGCACTCAACACAGACCACCGGCCATGGAATTTTGGCTGAGCTGGGTTTTCCTTGTAGCTGTTTTGAAAGGTAATTCATGGAGAACTAGAGATAGTGAGTGTGAGTGGACATGAGTGAGAGAAACAGTGGATATGTGTGGCAGTTTCTGACCTTGGTGTCTCTGTGTTTGCAGGTGTCCAGTGTGAAGTGCAGCTGGTGGAGTCTGGGAGAGGCTTGGTCCAGCCTGGGGGGTCCCTAAGACTCTCCTGTGCAGTCTCTGGATTCACCTTCAGTGACCACTACATGAGCTGGGTCCGCCAGGCTCCAGGGAAGGGGCCGGAGTGGGTAGGTTTCATGAGAAACAAAGCTAATGGTGGGAGAACAGAATACGCCGCGTCTGGGAAAGGCAGATTCACTATCTCAAGAGATGATTCCAAAAGCATCGCCAGTCTGCAAATGAGCAGCCTGAAAACCGAGGACACGGCCGTGTATTACTGTGCCAGAAACACAGTGAGGGGAGGTCAGTGTGAGCCCAGAAACAAACCTCCCTACAGGGGCGCGTGGATCCCCCAGGGGGCGTTCGGGACCCACTGAGGACGGGACAGGTCCCAGGAGCCGGTGCAGGGAGAGGTTTCCTTTCTCATTAGCTGGAGAAGTCAGGTTTGTGTTTGCAGGACTCTGGAGAATTCTAGGCTGTGACATTTTATTACTTGTATTTATTATGAATTTATTATGGTTAGTATTTAAATTTTAGTAATTTTTAAAACAAAATATATATATTTAAGTATACACCTTCATGAAATAACCATTTCTAATTTTTTGCACCGATTCTTCCAGAGTTTTATTAACATTTGTTGACATCAGCAGCTACAAAGTTATAGGGACACAAATTTATAACCATAGAAAGATGTACAGGCCGGGCGCAGTGGCTCAGGCATGTAATTTCAGCACCTTGGAAGGCCTAGGTTGCCAGATCACATGAGGCCAGGAGTTCGAGACCAACCTGAGCAACACAGTGAACCTCTGTCTCTACTAAAAATACAAAAATTAGCCGGGCGTGTTGGCACGTGCCTTTAATCCCAGCTACTTGGTAGGCTGAAGCAGGAGAATCACTTGAACCCGGAATGCATAGATTGCAGTGACCTAAGATGGCACCACTGTACTCCAGCCTGAGCGACAGAGCAAGATTCCATCTCAAAAAATAAAAATAAGTTTAAAAAAAAAACAAAGAAAAATACATAAATGCACAGACCTACGCATAATGTGTAGGAATTAATAATAAACATTACAATAAAATAATTCTAAAAATATGTCCTAAAGAATCAAACTTAATGATGAGCTAAATGTAAAATATTGGAGTATTTCATTATTGATTTTGTTTATTTTTAATTGTTTACATCAATTGATTTGTATTTGTTCATTTAACTACTGTTAAATAACGGTCATTTTAAATGTGGTTGTCACAATAAATGATAAGAATTTGAGATGACGAATAATTATCTTAACCATTTCTTATCTTAGTAATTGTACACAGTATTCACAAATCATAACATTACTTCTTACCTTGTAAATATAAGGCGCTGCAGGAGTCGGCGGCCAGCGCGGAGCAGAGGAAGAGGCCGTGACAGCCACAGAGAGAAGGAGAAGAACACGCAGCTGAAGACGAGGATGGAGGAGCCGGAGGCCGAGCTCCGAGAAAAGGAGGCAGAGCTGGAAGATCTCCCAAAACAAAGTGAACTCACACCTCAGCTCACGTCAGAGCGCGACGGTCTCTCTGAGAAGATGGAGGCCGCAGAGAGACGATCAAAACCTGGAAGACAAAGCGCGTTCCCTAAAGACAGACGCTGAGGAGAGCAAATCCCGACAGCGCCACCTGGAGGTGGAGGTGAAGAGCTTCCTGGAGCTGCTGGACGGGAAGATCCACGACCTGCGTGACTTCCGCCCAGGCCTCCCAAGCTGGGTACAGACAACTAGGGTTGGCCAAGGCCCGGGAACCCGCCGGTGAGTCCCAGGCGTGTGTGTGAGACCAGATGGCGCTAGGACGTTCCCTGTGTGCGTTGCTTCTGTAAATGCAGGCGCAGTTTGTCGTGTCTCCAAACCAGTTGTGCCGTCCACTCCTTTCCAGAATAGAAATCTCCTCTGGCTTCTCGGGCCTTGTGGGCGTGTGGACAACTGGAGATTCTGACTCGGGAATCCAGAGCCAGGTCTACCTTCAACATTTACGCAGTCAGGTCAGGGATGTTTATATCTTTCATAAGGGCTGTTGCAACCATATGAACTGAACAAAAAATTTTTCTAATCCAAATACTGATATTCTTTTCACCAAGCCACCGGAGTCCTTTTATCAAATAGCATTCAGAGTATTTGAACGCCCACCAGGCGCCAACCCCGGAGGGAGCAGAGAGAAAACAACATTCCTCTCGGTCAACATCGAGAGGCTTTAAAACAACTGTTTAGTGGAGACTTACCGAGAAATGGAAAACAGGTTTCTGGTGGCTGCATTTTCTGGCCTGGGAATCGCCTCCATCCCCGATCCTGCCCCCTGCCCCCCAGTTTGTGTGGTTGCGACAATGTTCCTTTTTCGGTTTTAATTTCTGAGCAGATGATTGTGGTGTGGGAACAGCACACAGTGAGGGTGTCTAGCACATGCCTGGCACAAAGTAGGCGCTTAACAAATATTTGCGCAGCTCATGCCTGTAATCCTAGCGCAATGGGAGATTGAGGCAGGCAGATCACCGACCTTAAAATAATTATTTTTTTCAAGGCCCTACTCAAAACCAGGGTATTATTAGAGGTGTAATAATTGGGCCAATATTGAAAATACATTCAATTTAGTTCATGTGATCTCAAATATCTTTTTTAAAAGTTGTTCTGTTGTAATAGAACACAAAATATTAGTAATTTACACTAATGACACAGGTTACAATATTGTATATATAATTTAGTGTCATTTGATTGGAAAAAATACATGTTCCTCATGTCTTGACTATTTTTTCCTTCCCTATGAAATGTATGCTTATAAATTATTAAGTTTCAGGTGTTACCGTTATCTTTTTGATTTCTGGGATTTAATTTTAGTAGGTATACTCAAATGCATTTTGTTAATTCACATAACAATGTTCATACTTTGGAGAGATTTTAATATTAATTTTATTGTTTGCTGAATTTCAAACTATTCTACCTTTTGTGTTGTTTTTATGAGATAAATTTTATACATAAGAAAAAAATGCATAGATCTGAAATGTGTCACAAGCTAGTTTCTGGCAAATGTGAATACTGTTGTTCCCAGCACCTAAGGCAGCCTGAAGAGCAAGTCCATCCCCACAACACACGTCTTTCTCTGTGCCTGCGGTCAAATCCTGCATGGGGAAATGTTTCGATTTCTGACTCTATAGATCTATTTTTCCCTGCTTTGAACTTTATATTAATGGAATCAAACTTTATAGACATTTTATTGGTGAGGAACTTCTTTGCTATCTTTGAGGTTAATTCGTGATATTTAATGTATAAAATTACATCAACATATTGACACTTATTCAATTAATGGACTGACTCTGATACGAAAACTCAAAATGTTCATGTACATATGGAGAGAGAGAGAGAGAGAGCAGAGAGATTTTACATCTGAGTCAGCCCATTAAGTAAATAAATGACAATATTTTGATTGATTTTCCTGTCAATACACCTTAAATTTGTTTCCAGTTTATGAATCTTATAAGCAGAGCTGTTACATATATCTTAGTGTAAGTTTTACTACATTCTTTTCATTTTTATTGAGAAAATGTGAAGTATATGTTTCTTTATTCTCAGAGTAAGTTTTTTTTTTCAGTTGTATTGAGGTGTAATTGAAATATTTTAATAATGTATATGTTTGAGGTACACCACTTGATGTTTTGATATTATATTAGCCCATTTTTATATTGCTATGAAGAAATGCCCGAGACTGAGTAGTTTGAAAAAACAAAAATGTTTAATTGGCTTGCAGTTCTACAGGCTGTACAGGAGATGCAGTGGCTTCTCCTTTCCAGGAGACTCAGGAAAGTTATAATCATGGGAGAAGACAAAGGGGAGTAGGCACATCACGTGGCCAGAGCAGAAGCCACAGGAAGTGGTAGGGGGTGTCTACACACTGTTAGACAACCAGATCTCGTGAGAACTCACGCACTGTTGTGAGAACAGTACCAGGTGTTGATTCTAAACCATTCATGAAAGACCCACACCATGACCCAGTCATCACACACCAGGTCCCACCTTCACAACTGAGGATTATAATACAACATGAGATTTGGGACAGGACACAGATCCAAACCACATCCAATATAATTGTAAAATGCTCATCATACTCAAGGTAATTTGTATATCCATCATGTCACAGAGGTACCGCTTTATTTTTTTTAAATGTACTATGGGTGTGAGTGTATGTGTCTGATGAGAATACCTAAGATCTACCCTTTTAGCAAAAATTATTTTACAGTACAGTATTAAATACAGGAACATTGCTGTACATTAGATCTCCAGAATTCATTCACCCTGCACAACTGAAACTATGTACCCTTTGACCAACATCACCCGATTTCCCTCTCCTTCCGGGTCTGGGACACACTATTTTGCTCTCTGCTTTCAAGAGCTTGAATATTTTAGATCCCACATGTAAATGAGATCATGCAGTGTTTGTCTTTCTGCATCTGGCGTGTTCCACTTAACATCATGTCCTCCAGGCCCATCCGTGTTGTTGCAAATGTCAGAATTTCCTTCTTTTCAAAGCCAAATAAAATTCAGTTTTATATATACACATTTTTTATACATTCATCCATTTACAGTCATTAAATTATTTTACAAATCTACACTATTACTAATAATCTTGCAACGAACATGTCTTTGGCAAAATAATTTTATTCCCTTTGAATATATAACAAGAAGTGGGATCACCAGATTATATGACAGCTTTATTTTCAACTCATCGAGTAATCAATCCTACCACAGCATATTCCCTTTTCCCCACATTCTTGCCAACATTTGTCATCTATTACATTTCTGAGAATAGCCATATTAACTGGTGTGAGGTGATATCACATTGTGCTTTTTATTTGAATTCCTCTGATAATTAGGAATGTTGAGAACCTTTTCGTTTTCTATTTGCCATGCATGTATCTTCTGAAAAAAATTATCCAGGTTTTTGCCCTTTTTTATCAGGTCATTTGTTATTTCCTATTGAGTTGTATGGGTTATTTATACATTTGGGTAGAACTTCTCGTCAGATACATAATTGCACATAGTTTTTCCTGTGCTTTGTTATTAAATTCAAAGAAATCAGTTCCGAATTAATGGCAGGAAAATTTTTTTTCCTCCATGTCATTTATAAGTATATGGCTTCAGGTATTATGTCCATTGTTAGTTGATTTTTATATGGAGTTAAAGAAGGCCTAATTTTATTTCTTATGCATATGGATGCCCGGTTTTCACACCATTATTGAAAAGACCATCCTTTCTCTACTGTGTGCTCTTGGCACAGAAAATCAGGAAGAGACATAATGACTAAAGAAAATAGATGAATATTCTTGATGAACACAGACCTAAACATCCTCAACAAAATACTATCAAATGGAATCCAAAAGCACTTTAAAATGTGATACACGATGGTCAAGTGGGCATTACCCCTGGGATGCAAAGCTCATTCAATATCTACAGTAACTGTGATTCACAATGTAATCAGAATAAAAGCAAAAACCATATTATTATGTCAGTGGTTGCTGAGAAAGCTTTTGATGGGATCCAACATCCACTCATGATAAAAACCCTCAACAGACTAGACATCAAAGCATCATACGTCAGCATAATAATAGCCATCTATGACAAACCCACAGTCAACCTCATACTAAATGAGCCAATTCATACACTTGTCTTTATAAATTACCCAGTCTTAGGTGTTTCTTTATAGTGTGAGAATGGACTAACAGCATCCAAATAGGAAAGGAAGTCAATCCGTCCATCTTCACTGATCATATAATTCTATACCTAGAAAATCCTAAAAACTCTGCCAAAATAATTCTAGAATAAACAACTTTAGTAAAGTGTCAGGATATAAAATCGATGGACAAAAATTGCCAGCCTTTCTATATGCCAACCACATCCAAGCTGAGAGTATAATCAAGAACACAATCCTATCCAACTTACAATATCCATAAAGAAAAGGAAATGCCTGGGAATACAGACAACAAACAAGGTGAAAGATCCCTACAAGGAGAACTACAAAACACAGCAGAAATAAGTCGTAAATGACACAAATAAATGGGAAAACATCTCATGCTCATGGACTGGAAGAATCAATATTGTAAAAATTGTCATACTGCCCAAAGGAATTCACAGATTCAATGCTATTTACATAAAACTATCATCATTCTTCACAGAATTAGAACTAAATCTATTCTAAAATTTATATGGAACCACAAAAGACCTTGAATAGCTGAAGCAATCCTAAACAAAAAGAACAATGCCAGAGGCGTCATAATACTGACCTTAAACTATACCATAACGTCTTGCTAACAAAAGCAGCTTGGTACTGGTACGAGAGCAGACACACAGAAAAAAAAAATTGATCAACATACAAAACAGAAATAAAGTTGCACACCTGCAACCATTTGATCTTTGACAATGCTGACAAAAAGAAGCAATGGGGAAAAAACTCTGTATTCAGTAAATGGTGCTGGGACAACTGGATTCTGGCAGGTATGCAGAATGCAAGAGTGAAGGAGGCTGTGCAGCTTCTACCCAGATTTCAGATGTGTAGAGAGCCCTGCATACCCAGGAAGAAGTCTGCTGACAGGAGTGGATCCACCACAGAAAGCCTC